CGCCCTCAGCAGTCCTATCTGGGCCTGGACCTGGACTCTCACAGCCCTGCCCGCCCCCAGGGGCTGGGCACAGATGGGGTCCCCGTCCCCCTGCTACGGGTGCGGCTTTCCCGTGTATCCGACACGGATCCTCCCCCCGCGCTGGGACCGGGACACACAGCGCCGCAGCACCCACACCCACTCCTGCTCGGCTGCCGACTGCTACAACCGGCGAGGTGAGGCCCTGGCGTGCCCCCGCAGCCTCCCCCACTCTGGGCAGTCTCCCTGGCCTTGGCTCCGGGGACGTCCACCTCTGTGGCCTTCAGAACCAAGGTCTGCCTGCTCCTTCCACATACCTCCCATGGTGTCAGCCCCCCCTTCCACACACGTGTCTTCCACAGCTCCCGGTCCCCGTGGCCCCAGGCCACCCAGACCCTCTGCCCCTCCTACAGCCACCTCCATGACGTCATCCCCTTCCGCACACTTCTCATGGTCTTGCTCATGAGGCTCTGTGGTTTTACTCCAGTGGCCCACATTCCAGTGACCCTGTGGCCTCTGTCCCGTGGTCTCCATGTTCTTGACTTCTGCTTTATGAATCCCATGTCCTTGTTCCTTCAGTCTCCTGTGGCTTCAACACCCATGATTCCACCTCTGAACTTCCATATTCCTTCCATGTATCTTGATCTCCAGTGGCCTCAGCCTCTCCTGTCCCCAGAGCCCTGTGTGACCTCAGCCCCTTCCCTCCCCAGAGTTTCATGTGGCTTTAAACCCCATGACCTCAGCACCTCTCCCTCCCCAGAGCCCCACGTGCCTGGGACATCCTGTGCACACCCGAAGAGCCGGAGGCAGAACCACCTGCCCAAAGTCCTCCACCCCAGCAACCTCCACATCAGCAGTGGCTCCACTGTGGCCACCTGCCTGAGCCAGGGGGGTCTCCTGGACGACCTGGACAACCTCATCCTGGAGGACCTGAAGGAGGAGGAGGAGGAAGAGGGCGGGCACGGGGCGTGACCCCTGCCAGGTACAGATGCAAACCAGACACGGTCTGTGGATACTTTGTGTTGTTATAAAATATGAGCTCAAACCAAGATATAAATGCCCTTGGGGAGCTGTGTGGGTCCGAGCTACTGGCAGGGGGATGCCTGGGTCCCACTGGCAGGGGCCTGGGAAGCAGATCCATACGGGAGGGCCTTTGGGACATGACCAGCAGTCAGCCACAAAAGAGGTGCACCCAGGACAATTTGGGCTCCTACTGACAATCACCCTGGGGGACAGATGGACAGATGGTCACAGTCTCAGGGGCCGGATCAGCATGGCAGCCTTCTTGAGAGAGTACGCCCCACCACGAAACTCGGCCCAGTAGACGCCATCCTGGTAGCGGCTGCGGTAGTGGCCGCCGCGGTGCCACACACCGTTTAGGTTGGAGTGGGCACAGGCGTGGTACCACCAGCCTCCCCGCTGGTACAGGGCACAGTTACCTGAGGGGCAGAGAGTCTGTGTCCTCTCACCAGAATAAAAGCCTCTACCAACACCTCACCAGTGCAAGGCTTTTGCCAGGTATCCCCTGACCCTCCCGACTCTAATTGCCCAAGCCCTGCCCCTGCCCCACCCACCTTGTAGTGCTGCCAGGTAGTGAAGAAGTTGACAGAGCCTGATCCTGTATCTCCTCACCAGAATAAGAGCCCTGGCCCCCTGCTTTCTTCTTCAGAGTAATATTCTAAATACTATCCTCTCACCCAAAATACAAGCCTTTCCCAACCTTTCTGTAAGCTAGGAGCTCTACCTCTCGTTTTATCAGGGAAAAAAAATCCTTCTCTACTTTCTTTCTAGAAAGAGTCCTAGCTCTCACCCCCTGCCCTTCACCAGAACAGGAGTCCTGACTCTGTTACTGCCACATTAGAGAAGGAATCTGGTCTTCCCATCCCCTCACCAGAATAAAAGTACTATCCCTTGTTCTCTTGCCAGAATAGAAGCTTGCTTACCCTGATCCTTACCAAAGAGGAGACTTACCCCACTCCCTTGCATTCCCTCACTAGAACATGAGTTTTGCCTCCCCTGCCCCAGCCACCACCACAAGAATATAAGCTCTCCTTACCAGAATAGGAGTCTCGGTCCCTATCGACAGTGCTGAAGGGCTTGTCATTGTGCCAGGAGAGAGAATCTCCAGCGTCACCATGGTACTGGCCAAGCCGCAGGCGGTAATGGTCGCTCTCAGGCTCCAAGGAGAAGCCATCATAGTGGGCACGTGCCCCACGGCCCCCCCAATCCTCCAGGAGCACCAGCAGCTCATGGTCCCCACGGCTGGTCAGCTGGTGCACGTGCTCCAGGCCCAGCCAGTACTCCCCGTCAGGCCGCCCGAAGCCCGCCTGGCAGGGCAGGAAAGTCAAGAGGTCAGGAGCAGGCCTCCTCCCCTGCCCAGCCCAGCCCCTGCCCCCCACCCACCTTGTAGTGCTGCCAGGTAGTGAAGAAGTTGACAGAGCCATCTTGCCGCCGCTGGATCACAGTCCAGCCTCCACCCTCCAGCTGTTGCTCACACCAGGCTGACGCCACATGCCGGCCCAGCCGCAGCTCATACACTCCACTTTGCCCATGGCCTGCCTGATGGGCCTCTGCACAGTCCCGCCATGGGCCTGTGGGTACAGGATATGGGGGAGGCACAGTCTGAGCCAACGATCCCTTACTAGAATAAGAATCCTTATTCTCCTGGTTCCCTCACCAGACTAGAAGTCCTGCCTCTCCCGTTCCCTCACCAGAATAAGAGCCCTAATACGCATTTTCTCACCTGAGTAAGATTCTAAGTCCCTCTTTTCTCACCAGCGCAAATGGGAAGCCTGGGATTCTTTTTTTTTCAATTGTACTTTAGATGAAGGTTTACAGAACAAATAGTTTCTCATTAAACAGTATACACACTGTTTTATGACAATGGTTGACAACCTGACATGTCAACACTGTCCCTTCTCAACCCTGGGTTCCCTATTACCAGCTTTCCTGTCCCCTCCTGCCTTCTAGTCCTCGTCCCTGGGCTGTTGTGCCTTATTAGTGTCATTTTGTTTTATGGGCCTGTCTAATCTTTGGCTGAACGGTGAACTTCAAGAGACTTCATTACTGAGCTAAAAGGGTGTCCGGGGGCCATACTCTTGGGTTTCTCCAGTCTCTGTCAGGCCAGTAAGTCTGGTCTTTTTTTGTGAGTTAGACAGAATTTTGTTCTACATTTTTCTCCAGCTCTGTCCGGGACCTTCTGTTGTGATTTCTGCCAGAGCAGTCAGTGGTGGTAGCTAGGCACCATCTAGTTGTACTGGACTCAGTCTGGTGGAGGCCGTGGTAGTTGTGGTCCATTAGTCCTTTGGACTAATCTTTCCCTTGTATCTTGTTTTCTTCATTCTCTATTGCTCCCGAAGGGGTGAGACCAGTGGAGTATCTTAGGTGGCTGCTCACAGGCTTTTAAGACCCTAAATGCTACCCACAAGGTAGAATGTAGAACGTTTTCTTTATAAACTGTGTTATGCCAATTGAACTAGATGTTCCCCGAGACTATGGTCCTGGGGTTGTTAAACCTTGGTTGTGTGGTCTCCTCACCAGAATAAACGTCCTGAGCATATCAGTCTAAACCTGCCCAAATTCTCACCAAAACAGCGGTCCAAAATCCTCCGCCCCTTCATCAAAATAAGAGTCCCTCCTCTCTTACTCTTCACACCACCATGGTAAGAATGTTGGTCTTTTTATCACACACAATTTGAGCCACACCTCTCTGTTCTGTCATCAGAATAAAAGCATCATTTCCTCCAGTCTCCTCACCAGGAGACGAATCTGTCATTGAAAGCCTGACTCCTCTATGTCCCTCTACCCACAATGCACTAGGAATCACCTAGTTCTCCACACCCCCAACATCCCTGCCCCTGTCTTACCTGCTGGCTTGGTGGAAGCTGCAGGATGCCCTGCGGGCGTGGGCAAGGCCAACGGCCCCTTCTGTCTCAGGGTCTGGTCTTTCTGGGGCTCTGGGGCTGGGTCAAGCCTCTTGCTGCTGTCATTGGTGCCACCCACCAGACTGACCGGAACCACAGGCACCAGGGGCGGCGGCAGGACCTGGGGTGGCCAAGAACGCCTGGGATGTGATGGCAGTAACCCTTGGCCAAAGCCCTTCCCAACCCAGGGCTGGGGATGATGGATAAGTCTGTCCAAATACCCATTAGGAGATCAGGCAGCGGAATATGCCAGCCCCACAACTGATCCTCCTCAGAGCCTAACTCTTGGACCCTGAAGAGCACAGCTAGGCTTAAATCCCCACTCTGGTACTCAGAAGTTTAACCAATCTGTGCCTCAGTCTCCTATAGAGATAATAAGCATACATCCAACATTGAAATTACCTTAATGAATCTGCCGGACCCTGTAAAAGGGGGGACTGTCACAGAGCAACAATCTCTTATCCAAAACCGAGGGACAGACATATTCCAGAATTCAGAATATGGCCTGTATGTATATTACATAACACCCACAGCACGGTTTTTGGTCTTTATCCACATAAGAAAATGCTTGATTACAAGATCCTATGAACATTCACTCTAAGTGAATAAGCAAAGACTAAATAGCCATTCACGTTTTGACCCACATGAGTTATGACAAAAATACGGTTTGCAGAGCTTTTCGGATTTTGGAACCTCAGATAAGAGCTGGTAGGGTTGGGAGTGGCCCATTTCACAAACAGTACACGCCGGAAGTGATTATGTTTCGCGGGGCTTCGGGATTACCTGCTGCTGCCCGCCTACGCCCCCCGGGCACAGGCGCTCCAGGCGAGCGATCAGGCCGCTTTGCTGGCTGACCAGCTGCGCCAGCTCGCGGAACTTGACGTCCAATTGGTGGAAGCGGGCAGCGGCGCGCTGCGCTTCGGCGGACGCGTTGAGCACGCGCTCGCCGAGCAGCGCCAGTGCCGCGGCGGGCTCCGCCCCCGGGCTTGGGCCCGCACCTGCACCCGCACCCGCCTCGTGCTGCAGCTGCGCGCGCAGCTGGCCCAGGCGCGCGCTCAGACCGCGGCTCTCCTTGCGCAGCGCGCGCACCTCGCCGGCCACGGCGCCATCGGCTGCTGCCAGCCGCTGCAGCTCTCGCAGCAGCGCCTCGTGTCGGCCCACGCGCATGCGCAGCGCTGCAACCTCGCTGGTGTTCAGTGCCTCCGGCGCCGGCCGTCCAGCCGCTGGCCCGCTCCAGCACACGGCGCCGGTGAACTTCTGCTGGGGCAGCACGAAGGTGTAGGTGCAGCGCGGGGCGCCTGCCCGCGCCCAAGTCGCGCCCAGCAGTAGCAGCAGCTGCAGCGCGTGCAACCGGGGCGCTGACATGGTGGACCTGCAGGCAGAGGAGCGAGAAGGAGGTGGGACCTGGGAGCCCAGACTCGGCCCGGCCAAATCCATCTGCTCAGGCTGGGGAATGCTCGCGTGGTCCCAGCGTGGCTCCGGGTCCACACATGCCTGCCTCCAGTTCATTCCCCCCGTGGCTGGAGACGCCCCAGTGGTATCCCGCCCCGTCCTCTCCACTGAGTTCCAGTCACCCTGCGGGACAGCATGTTTCGCAGGTGTCTTGCGCAGTCATTCAGCAAGCATTTATTGAGTGCTTAGTGTATGCTGGCCTGTGTTCTAAGCACTGGGAATACAGTCCACAACAAAATAGACAAAAATCTTGGCCCTGGTGGGCAAGAAACAAAATACACAGGTAAAACCGAGTATATGAGATGGTGCTAAGTGCTAAAGATGACAGTAAACCAGGAGGGAGCAATTGAGAGGAGAGGTGCTCGGACAGGGCAGGCCTCCTTGAGGAGGTGAGGGAAGAAGTCATGAGAATATCCGGGGAGAAGAGCGTCCCAGGCAGTGGGGGAACAGCAAGTGCAAAGGCCCTGAGACAACTGTGCGTGGAGGCTGGAGCAGAAGCAGAGGGAGAGTGGGTGGGAGGAGGTGGCATGGGGGGACAGTCTCACTAACTCAGTCTTCACATCTGTCTTAGCAATGGGCACTCCATCCTCTTGTCCTCCTTCACCGCAGATCCAGCCCATCAGTCGCGCCTGTTGGCTCTTCTGTTTAGACCCTGAATTCTTCCACATCCTCCCTCACCCCACCCTCCCAGCTCAAGACACCATCTGGATTTCCTTACAGCAGCCTCCTCCCAGGTCTCTCTCTTGTTGCCCTTGCCTCCGCCACAGTCTGTGCTTTCCACAAAAGCCAGGGTGCACCTGTGAACCCGAGTCAGTTCTCGTTCCTCCTCTGCTCACAGCCCTCCATAGCTCCCACCTCACTCGAAGAAAAAGCCCAAGGCCTCCTGTGGCCACAAGGCCCTGCACTACCAGCCTGGCCACCTCCCTGCCCTCATCTCCTCCCACTGTCCCTCTTGCTGGCTCTCTCTCCAGCCACACTGGCCTCCCTGCTGTTCCTCAAACACTCCAGGCATACTCCACCTCAGGGCCTTTGCACTTGCCGTTTCCTCAGCCTAAAACTCTTCACCAAATTTTAACACGCTGGTTGTGTGAATGAGGAAGGTGTGTGACGATGAAGAGGGCAGGGTGCAGGCCTGAGTGGATGCCAGGGTGTGTGGGTTTGGACATGGTGGAACTCAGTACAGGCAGAGTGGTATGTGGACATGTGGGATGTGTCATGAGTGTCACCAAGTGCACTTCCTCTCCTTATTCAGGTCCCAGCTCAAATGTACCCCGCCAGAAGCCCTCCCCGACCACCCCATTTAGTTGCTCCTCCTAAAACCCATTGCCATTGAGTTGATTCTGATTCATAGCGACCCTATCCTAGATTCTCTCTATTACAGTCTGTCTTTTATTATCTGAATTCCCCCACCAAAATATCAGCCCCAAGGCTGGTCTGAGTTTTGCTCACTGTTCTGTCCCCAGTGCCTAAAACAGTGCCTGGCACACGGTAGGTGCTCAATAAATGTTTGTTGGGTGGACGGATGTGCTCTCACCCTACCCCCAGTGTTCTTACTCATGCACCAGTATCCTTACTCAAGGGTGTATACTCAGCGCTGCCCACCCCTACCCTGCAGGGTCCACACACAGGCCCCCCATTGCCCACGTGCCTGGGCATACCAGGGTCCACACGCAGCCTCTCAGACATGTAAGCACATGGCTGTGTCCACATGTGCACTTGGTGACACTCATGACACATTCCACATGTCCATATATCCCACCTGCACCAAATTCCACCATGTCCAAACCCACATGCCCTTGAGTCCACACAAGCATGCGCCCTGCCTTCATCATCATGCACCTCCCTCATTCAAACAATGAGCACCTACTGTGTGCCAGGACCTGTTCTAGGCAGCTGGGACACAGCTGGGACCAAGACAGACAAAATCCCCGCCCTCCTGGGGCTGAACTCCTGGTTGGGGAAATAGGCAGTCGGTAGGCCAGAGGGTGGTAAGTGCTTAGGAGAAAAATAAAGCAGAGAAAGGGAGGGAGCTCCAGACAAGGGAGTTTCAAATAGAGGGGATAGGGAAGGCCTCGCTGAGAAGGTACCAACTGAGCAAAGACCCCAAAGAGAGGGAGAAGAGAAAGTGCATTCCAGGCAGAGGGGGCAGCAAGTACAAAGGCCCTGAGGTGGGACATTGCTTGATATGCTCAAGGAACAGTGAGGAGGCCCCTACGACTTGAGCAGAGTGAGCAAGGGGGAGAGAAGGGGCAGATCATGCAGGGCCTGGGGGGCGACTCGAGCTTTTACTCTCATGAGGTGGGAGCCATGGAGGGTTCTGAGCTGAGAACGGCCCGTTCACTGCTGTCCACACACTCTAAGAGGGTGGGGCAGGGTCTTCACTTTGTCCCCAACCAGACACCAGGCTCCCCACTACAGGGATGGACTGTCCCGACCCCCTGGAGCTAGAGTGTGGATGTAACACCTGAGGCCTTTCTCTCCCTCAGGCCGGCAGTGAGGAGGAGGCCTGAGAACCCCCCAGTCAAGCCGAGGCCAGGGTCCCCCAACAGTATCATCCCTGTCTGCCCCCCTGCTCTCTCACCTCTCACGCCCAAGGCCCTGAGTCCAGTGAGGCTCAAAGCAGGCACACAAAGTCCGAGGAGGAGCCGAGGGTCCTCAGGGGCCTCTGAGCTGGGGAAGGGGAGAAGCCAGTAGGAGGGAAGGAAGGAAGAATCTTACTAACCCTTCCGCCCCCCCACCCCCAGTGCCTGGGACTGGAGCTGTGATGGCTTGGCCCAGGAGCCCCAACTGTAAATATTTAGTATTTCCCGTGTGAGAACCAAGGCAGAATTGCCAGACCCCCCTGCCCAGGCCACCAGAGCCTGATAACACAGGTCAGCGCCCTGGACATTCCCCTCGTGGGGAGCACAGAGCGTGGGAGGCTACAGGCCAGGCACATGGACAGGATCCCGGCCCCAAACACCCACCCCCGACACATACACACCCCACACAGAGAACAGCAGTGAACATCAGTAGGTACCTGCTATACGTGTTAGGCTCTAAATTCTTTACACCTTTTATCTAATGCGCACAACCTGAGCCAGTTTCTATATTTAAAAAAAAAAACAAATTCGTTGCCGTTGAGTCGATTCCGACTCCTAGTGACCCTATAGGATAGAGTAGAACTGCCCCATAGAGTTTCCAAGGAGTGCCTGGTGGATTCGAACTGCCAACCTTTTGGTTAGCAGCCATAGCACTTAACCACTACGCCGCCACCAGGGTTTCCAGTTTCTGTACAGAGCCCCATTTTACAGCAGAGGAAACAGGCTCAGAGAGGGTGAGTGACTTGCCTATGGTCACACAGCCAGAAAGGAACCACAGTGGGATTCAACCCAGGTAGCTTGTTTGCAGAACTCGTACGTGTATGCCACAGTAGTGATGCGTGCACACAGACATGCACACACATAACAGTGCAGACACAAAGACACACGTCTACCCAAGAAGACATGCAAATCACTACACAGGAAGCAAAGACAGATAGATGAGGATCCAGAGAGAGCCCTGAGAATTGGTATGTGTATGTGTTTGTCTGCACACCAAAAACAAAGCAGTTACCATCAAGTCGCTTGTGACTCATGTCAATCCCATGTGTGTAGAGTAGAATTCTGCTCCATAAGGTTTTCAGTGGCTGATTTTTTGGGTGTAGATCACTGGGCCTTTCTCCCAAGGTGCCTCTGGGTGGACTCACACCACCAACCGTTTGGTTAGCAGCAAGCACATTAACCATTTGCACCACCCAGGGACTACATCTGGCACACAGACACATATAAAGACACAACCAGAAACACAAGGACAAATTTGGGTAACAACTGTGTGTTTGAAATAGCCACACATGCACCGTGACTTACAGGAAAACTCCCTGTGGACTGAGGGCATCTGTATCTGTGTGTCTGACACGCACACACTCAGGTCCACGTGGTCACACACTGGCAAGCACAGAGACACAAGGCAGGTACAAGGCGAGACCCGGATGCTTGCTGGCCATGGTGTGGGTGTTTCCGTTTGTCTCCCACATACTGGCATATTCTCACACAGGTCAAATCACACAGCAAAAAAAGCACGCAGAAACAACCATGCAGTAATTTATCAGAAGTATAAGCCAACTCACGTGGAGTCCCAAAACCCTGGCCCAGGGTCTCCAACCTGTACGAGGGCCTCACTGACGAGCAGAGCAGACACCTATTTGGGGAGCAGTCTTCCCACAGTTCGCAACGTCCTGAAAACGTAACCCGAGTGGACTCCCAGGCTGAAAAAGGAAATGGTCGTCCCAGATATGAGAGAGTCTACCAGGCTGGGCTCTGGGCTGGGCCCCTCCCTCACTGGGCCCCTCGACCCCCCACCCTCAGCTTGCTCTGACAGCAGAGAGGGAATAAACCTCATAAGTCACAGAAAGGCGCTGACAGAAGGGAGAGAGAGTCCAAGAGACAGAAATAGGGAGACGGGAAGAGAGATGGAAAAGGAGATGGAGAGGCAGGAAGAGAAATGGGGCTAGACACAGACACGGAAGATAGAAATGGAGACAGAGAGGAGAAAAATGGAAACTTAAAGATGATGAAAGAGGCAACTTATGACGGAGACAAAGGTGGAGGAGAAAGAGAAGACGGGATGGAAAGGGGGCGACAGAGGTGGGGAGGGGAGACAGATGAGTGGGGAGGGAAATGTTCAGCACAGGGAGTAGTGTACCTTCCCCCCACCCCAAGGTTCTGGGGAAGAGGCCAGGGGCCTGGGGCCAAGACTGGGGCTCTGAGAGGAAATGAGGAGGGGGGTGAATTATTCATGAAGCTCCCGCCTTGCCCCGAGTTTCCAGAAAGTGATGTGGAGTTTCCATCCCTAAGCCCGTCTACAGACAGGGTCCCCGCGGAGGGCAGCTGGCCCTCAGGAGCCGGGGACCCGAATGAGTAACTGCCACAGGCTCTACCCCTTTCTCTGGTTGCTACCAAAGTGCCTGACACCCATGTGCCGGGTATTGTGCATACATTCTCTCTCTTAATTCGCGGGTCAAGGAGGAATTGATCATCCTCACTTTAGGATACTTCAGGAGCCTCGGAGTTGAGAAAAGTTATCAAAATCACACAGCTGGTGGAAATGAGCCGAGAAGGTATTCGAACCTGCGGTTCCGCTTTCCGAAGCCCGCCCTGGGTCCCTAAGCTGTGCAACCCCGCCCCGGTTTCCTTGGAAACAGGCTCCCAGTGTCTCCATAGCAACGCCCCCACGATCTCCGAGGCCACCTAGTGCGCAGCCCCGCCAGTTGGCGCCACCAGAAGCACCACCTTACGTGATCACGCGCTTGCGTCGGAAGTGAGCGGCACGGCGCCGGAAGTGGCGGTCGGAGGGTGCCTCGTGGAGGAGACGGCATCATGGGGCCGCGGAAGCGGGTAAGGCGCCGCGGCCGGGGAGGTGGGGAGGTCGGATGTGCTCCTCGCGGAGGCCGCGGCGCTCACCCGCCGCTTCTCGCCCCCTCAGTCCCGGCACCAGAAGCGCGCGCGCGCCCAGGCGCAGCTCCACAACCTCGAGGCCTATGCCGCACAGCCTCACTCGTTCGTGTTCACTCGGGGACGCGCTGGACGTAGCGTCCGGCAGCTCAGCCTGGACGTGCGGAGAGTCATGGAGCCACTCACCGCCACCCGCCTGCAGGTCGGCACCACCCAGCCCCCCTTCATCCACCCTAGGTCCCGTCTTACCGGCTACTGGCCTGGAATCCGCCCAGTAACCGCGCAAGTCCTCAGTTTCTCCCGGTGGAGAAAGGGCCTCTTCTGGGGACCACCGTCCCCGCCTTGCAGAGGTTTGTGGGGATGCATCGAAGGCACCCTGATGAACGCACCTAGCTTGGGGCTTGACTGTGTGCCTAGGCCACGTGGTTAGGAGTGTACTCTCGAGTTCGCAAGGCTGGGTTGGACGCTTGGCTGCTCTCAGAATTCTAGAACAAGCTACTTAACATCACTGGGTTTCAGTCTGCTCATCTGTAAAATGAAGAGATACACAGTAACCAAGTGGCAGAAGTGGTACTTGAATTCAGGTCAGATTGGCTCTAGGGGCTTGTTGGAAGAGTTAGCTGCAAGAAAAGGCCTAACATGAGCCTCAGCCTAAGCTTAAACTTGTTGCTCATTTGGGATATTCTGATTGTTCATTCTTTTGTCTTTAATTTTCAGGTACGGAAGAAGAACTCGCTGAAGGACTGTGTTGCAGTGGCTGGGCCCCTTGGGGTCACACATTTCCTGATCCTGAGCAAAACAGAGACGAACATCTACTTTGTGAGTGGACTCCCACACCCCAAACCTCACCCCAGCTCCCCACCTCGCCAGCTCTCATGATGAACCCATGTGCCTCTGAGCTGCCATGATTCTGGCTTGAAAGTAAACGCTCTGAAGAGATGGAGCAGAGGTGTCTATTTCTCCTGCTCCCTAGCAGGGCATCCCCATCTTCACGGGCTGTTTTTTTCTGCAGAAGCTGATGCGCCTCCCGGGAGGCCCCACCTTGACCTTCCGGATCAACAAGGTAAGGGATGGAGATGATACGAGGGCCATGTGGGGTAGGAGCTGAGCTTGGGGCTGGCCCCAGCCACACATGGTTGACGGTCACCACTCCTCATCCTGCCCCGCAGTACGCACTGGTGCGTGATGTGGTCTCCTCACTGCGCCGGCACCGCATGCACGAGCAGCAGTTTGCCCACCCGCCCCTCCTCGTGCTCAACAGCTTCGGCACCCACGGCATGCACGTGAAGCTCATGGCTACCATGTTCCAGAACCTGTTCCCTTCCATCAATGTGCACAAGGTGGGCTGGGTCTGGCATGATGGCAGGTGTGGGTGGATTGATTGCTTGGGCCTCACTTCCCAGCACCGTGGCTGAAAGTGCACACTCCGCGGTCCACTGAGTTTTGAGGTCAAATCCTGCCCATGTGTTTTGTAACACTGGGCAGGAGGCTCCCCGGGGAGCCTATTTGGCAGATGGAAAATAATGCTAATGGTGTTTTATTTTCTGCATGCATGTCAAGCACAGGTCTGTGCAGTGTAGCGTTTGTTGTCACCACCCCATTACAAAAAGAAGGTGAGGTTGAGTGAGGTGAAGTTGATAGCCTGAGGTTAGAGGCTGAGCCTCAGGGAGTCTCGTGTGGTCAGCTTCTGCGGGCCCAGATTTCAACCAGTGATCCGGGTGGTCAGTGTACACCATCTGCAGCCCCACCAGCCCCCATGGTGCTAGTAGCAGCCACCTTGCCTCTGGGCTCCTGGAGTGTGTGATGAGATGGGGCCTGCCTGGCCAGGACTGGTCGTGGGCTCAGCACATGTGAGGCCTGTGGGCAGCTCATGTGGCACCATGCCCTCCTCCTTTCCAGGTAAACCTGAACACCATCAAGCGCTGCCTCCTTATCAACTACAATCCTGATTCTCAGGAACTGGATTTCCGCCATTAGTGAGTACTTTGGGGGCTTGAGGGGGATGGGGACTCACGGCCTTCAAGAGTGGCTAACGATAACACTGTGGTTCAGACTCTGATTGCTCAGTCTTGAAGTAAATGCTCTGATGTCCTCTGGAAGGAGTAAGGGGGTCTGACTTCCAATCTCATGAGCCTTAATACCCTTTCGTGCACATTTTGGTCCGTATAGTAGCATCAAAGTCGTTCCTGTGGGTGCAAGTCGGGGGATGAAGAAGCTTCTGCAGGAGAAGTTCCCCAACATGAGCCGTCTGCAGGATATCAGCGAGCTGCTGGCCACGTGAGGAGGGTGCGGGATGGGGGACCACAGTCCAGGGGACCCCAGAGCTGTCCTGGGAGCCTGGGATCCCCTGCTGAGCCCCATGCATGCCCTGCACAGGGGCGCGGGGCTGTCAGACAGCGAGGCAGAGCCTGATGGTGAGCACAACATTACAGAGCTGCCCCAGGCCATCGCCGGGCGTGGCAACATGCGGGCCCAGCAGAGCGCTGTGCGTCTCACAGAGGTGAGATCCAGCCCACGTGGGCCCAACGGTGAAGGTGACTTCCTGTGACAACCCACAGCCCCAAGGAAGCACTGACTCTTCCTCCACGTCTCGTAGATTGGTCCTCGGATGACGCTGCAGCTTATCAAGATCCAGGAGGGTGTCGGGGAGGGGAATGTGCTTTTCCACAGTTTCGGTGAGGATGGGATCATGTAATTGGGGATCACCTGAGGCCATTGAAGGGGAGTCGGTGGAAAGTGGAGTAGGTATTTGGGTCTTGGTGAACCGTCTCCTTCCTGCTCAGTGCACAAGTCAGAGGAGGAGCTGCAGACCATCTTGGCGGCCAAGGAGGAGAGGCTGCGGCTGAAGGCCCAGAGGCAGGACCAGCAGGCCCACAATGTGCAGCGCAAACGGGAGCAGCGAGAGGCCCACAAGTGTGTAGGGGGTGGGGCGGAGCAGGACGGGACAGGTCCCTGGGTGCAGGCTGCCACACTGATGGACACTCTCTTCCTCCAGGAAGAAGAGCCTGGCGGGCATGAAGAGGGTGCAGGCAGAGGCCGATGGGGACAGTGATGCCGAGGACCCAGGGGCCCCACCAGAGGCAGAACCTGAGAGGGAGGAGGATGAAGCTGAGTATTTCCGCCAGGCTGTGGGCGAGGAGCCTGACGAGGGTGTGTGATGGGTCAGTGCAGCGGGGCACCGAGGGTGTGACCTTGGGCACTGGGGCACTGACCTGTCTCTCCCTGCAGACATGTTCCCTGGGCTGACGAGGCGGAGACAGCCCACCAGGCCTCCACGCAAGAAGCAGCGGGTAAAGGATCGGAGGCCAGACCGAGACAAGGATTGGAGGCTTCCAAAGCCCAAAGGCGGGTCCCGCAGAGCCCAGACCAAGCTGGGGCCCAGAGGGGCTGCTCAGGGCCGGGCTCGGCTGCCTAAGACAGCGGCATGAACCTGAGCCCCAGTAAGACCAACAGAGTGTCCCAGATTGGGGCCGAGATACGCTGCCTTGGGGCTCCCGCGGGGCTCCAGGTGTGGCCTTTGATTTCCTTTTATAAAGGAGCCATTTTCCTAATTCCACAATAAATGATTAGCGTTTCTATCAGTCTGTGTGGGGAGTTGGAAGACCCGAGCCCTGCAGTACAGAGCCCAGAGAGGCCTGGGGCAGCAGCACCTGGAGCCTGACCAGTTTCTGCTCCAAGTCTGGAGGCATGAGGATTTTGTTTCACAGATAACGGCAGTCTGTGTTCCTCCCCAGCTGGTGACGCAGGCAGACAGGCTGCCCAGCAATGAGGAAGGGAGGTGGAGGCGGTGCCCTAACCAGCTCTGCAGGCTGAGGGTGGGGCTGCTGGGAAGGGAGGGGCTGGCCTAACTGCTGGTGGTAACTCAGAGGAACTGGGGACAGCGAGGGGAGCAGACTGAGCGGGTACACACCATGGCAGCCAGCACAGGTGAGGCGCTCTGCGCTTGAGCCGGGAACATCACCACCTATCCCCGAGGTGGGGCTGGCGGCTCCCAGGAGGCAGTGGTGCGACAGGAGATGGGTGATAATGAACATTTAGATGGCCACTTAGAGCCCCACAGCTATGTGATGAGGTGTCCGGGGCAGAGGGCCGGTTTAGAGGGGTTGTATGTGTGAAAGAATGGAGTATATGAGGAAGTGCACGTGGTTCAAACTCTCCCACGTTGTAGCGTGCCAGTCAATTGTTCTCGGCACTGGGAGCGGGCAGCATGGGGTAGTGGGGAGCCCCTTACCCTTGTGAAATGGATGTTTTGGCAGAGGGGTTGGGTGAGAAAATATGCATTTTCTTTATAATGACCAGATGGGGAAAAGGGAGCAGGGAAGGGGGACTGGAGGGCACCAGGAGTGCAGTTGCAACATTGGGGTGGTCAGAGTGGGCCTCTTCCAGATGGGACCAGAAACCAGAAGGTGAGAGGGTGGCAGAGGGAAGAGCCAGTGCAAAGACTCTGAGGAAGGACTTTCCTCAAGAAACTGCCAGGAACGAGTCTGGCTGTAGGGAGGGACTGCAGGAAGTGACACGGGATTGCTAGAAGATGAGAGGAAGTGGGAGGGAGGGCTCGCACAGGGCTTTGCCTGACAAAATCACTGGCTTTTGCTGAGTAGAGAACCATGAAAATCTGAGCAGGAAAGGGTCAGCATCTAACTCAAGTGCCCACAGATGGTGGGGTGTGAGGGTGGAAGCTGGAGGTGGGGGGCCTGCATGGATGACCAGCGCCAACCCATGGGAGATGGTGGGGCTGGGCCAGCATGCTGAGCAGAGACTGAGGACAGCAGTGTCAGGGCTACCTCCCATCTCTGAGCTGGGTTGGCGCTTTTGGGCTCCCACTACCCCATCCCAGGCTTGCCAGGTCACTGCCAAGGTGGCATGCTTCCCATGAGCACAGTGACCCCAACTTGCCCCAGCTGGCTCTTCAGGGTGCAGAACCCAGGAAGAGCCTAGTTGGCATCAGCTGGGGGAAGAGTCTCTGGCTTGGGACTTCTGACCTGTCTGGGCCTGGGTTTCTGGATGTAAAAAAGGACAGAGGCTCATGCCCCCTCCAGGCCATGATAAGGATTCAGGGAGATGCAGGCAAAGGGCTCTTGACAAGCCCCAGCGCTCAACCAGTGCACAATGAAGGACTGGTGCCACTGCAGATGCGGGGCTGAGGGCAGCTGGAGCCACGCGGAGGGAGGACAGAGCTCACTCGGTGACACCCTATGCCCACAGGTGCCCCGCTCTGCCCAGACAACTTCTCAGCAGCTGCAGAACAGGTCCTCAGCAGTGTCCAAGAGAACTTCCTGTGGCCCGTGTTGGTGGTTGAGTTTTTGGTGGCCGTAACAGGGAACGGTCTGGCCCTGTACCGTTTCAGCATACAGGAGCAGCGCCCCTGGCACCCGGCGGTGGTCTTCTCGGCCCAGCTGGCCATCAGTGACCTGCTGCACGCCCTTACTCTGCCCCCGCTAGCTGCCTACCTTTACCCACCCAAGCACTGGCATTACGGGGAGGTCGCGTGCCGCCTGGAGCGCTTCCTCTTTATCTGCAACATGCAGGGCAGCATTATCTTCATCACCTGCATCAGCCTCAACCGCTACCTAGGGGTTGTCCACCCGTTCTTCACTCGCAGTCACCTGCGACCCAAGCATGCCTGGGCCATCAGTGCCACTGGCTGGGCCCTGGCAGCCCTGCTTGCTGCACCCACGCTCAGCTTCTCCCGCCTGAAGGGAAATTACACTAAGGACGGGCTGGAGAACTATGTCAAGTGCCTGGGGACAGCAGAGGACAATCGGCTGGAGGCCTACAGGGCCTACAGCCTGGTGCTGGCAGGCCTGGGCTGTGGCCTGCCACTGATGCTCACTCTGGCAGCCTACGGCGCCCTGGGCCGGGCTCTGCTGCACAGCCACGGCATGAAAGTGGCCGAGAAGCTGCAGGTGGCAGTGCTGGTGGCCAGTGGTGTGGTCCTCTATGCCAGCTCCTACGTGCCCTACCATGTCATGCGCGTACTCAATGTGTACGCCCGGCAGCGCTGGAACGCCCAATGCCCGAACTTTGCAAATGAGGACGAGGCAAAGGCAGCACTGGACCAGGGGGCCTACATGGGCTACCAGCTCATGAGGGGCCTCATGCCCCTGGCCATCTGCATCCACCCACTGCTCTACATGGCCGTGGTGCCCAGCCTGGGCTGCTGCTGCCAACACCGCCCTGGCTGCAGAGGGTACAAGGACCCAGGGGTCCCCCAGAGCTCCAGCCAAGCCCTGCCACTCGATGTCACAGCTACTACCCCCAAGACCTCGGAGCCCTGGTCCTCTGAGCCAACCCCATGACATGGCCTATCTCGAGCCGCCTTCTCACTGCAAGGCGCTGGGACTCGGCAGCTGAAAGGACTGAGAGCACAGGAGGCCCTGAGCTGCCACCTCCCCCAAAGGCCTGTGGTTAGGCAGGTGGGACTGGCTAGAACGGAGGCCACAGCAGCTGGTTTCCTGCTCAGCCCTCAGCACAGACCCCGAGTAGGGAGCAAACCCGTGATGGGGTAGCGGGAGGCCCAGCAACCACAGGATGTGGTAAGTGAAAATAAATGGAGCACGTGGAGGATGATCCGAGCCTTTTTTATTGCCCTTGGAGTCCTGCTGTTGGAAGCCACCTCCTGTGGCAAAGGGTCCTGAGACCAGGGCTTGAGCAGCAGCCATGGTGGCCCCTGGCTTAGTTTGTTGATGGCCTAGAAAGGGAGAAAAAAGGTGTAAGAAAGGCAAGTGTGGGGGCTCCAGACCCCCAAGGGAATCCCAAGACCCCCCCAACCCCCGCAAAGACTGGAGCCAGGGTGGGGTAGGGTGGAAGACAGGCACAGTGCAGGAGCCAGACTGATGGGTTGCAAGCCTGGCCTGGCCCTGGGCTGACTGCCTTGTGCCTTGTGCCCTTCTGTGAAATGAAAAGGATGCTAAACAGCCTTAGTACAAACAGCCCATGCCAATGATGAAGTCGGAGCAGGGCTCGCTATTGTGACAAGGTTGAGAGAGCGAGGACAGGGAAGGTGGATCAGGGCAGGGGCCTTACTTGGCCCACTCGACATTGAGGATGAGGTGGTCGTAGCCGAAGCCGGACACCCCAGCGATGGCGCGGGCGGCATCCTCGCGGCGGTGGAAGCTGATGAAGGCGAAGCCCTGGGGGAAGGAACAAGGTCAGGCACACTCAGGGCCAAGCCAGGACAGACGACCCCGCCGCCCACCCCCATGGCCGCCACCCCACCTTGGACTGGCCGGTGGTCTTGTCCTTCGCCAGGTAGATGCGGGAGATGGAGCCAAAGGGCCGGAAGAGTTCCTGCAGATCGGTCTCCCGCGTGTCCTCGGACAGATTGGTAACGCGGATGGTGGCATTATCATCGGCTAGGCAGGCAAGGAGAGGCAGCTCTCAGGGGAAAGCTGCGCCCAGCCCCACATGCAAGATAATTACAGGGTGCTGGGAGGTGCTCATACGGCCGGCGTCAGGTGCCCCCTCACTCACCTCTGCGGTTGGGCTGCATGGACTCCCCGCGGCGGCTGGCCCCGTCCCGTAGGCTTGGTGGCACGTATTTTCCTGTCTTGCTCTGGGTGGCCTGCACAGGCTCCAGCTCTGGAGATCAAAACCATGGTTAGGGGAAGGCCCCACCCTGGCGCAGATGGAGGGACAGACCTGCCCAGGGTGCTGGCGGCTCAGGCCCTAACCCAGCCCAGGTACTGCCTGCCAAGCCACAAGCATCTGGGCTAGTTCCTCTGAGGCCCAGAGCTGCAGTGGCCGTGGTGACATCAAGGTCATATCCAGGAAGAAGGCACCATTTAAGCATCCTGTTAGCAACACTGACAGAGCAAAAACCCACAGAGCAGGCATAGTTCGAGGCGCCCACACACACACCTCGCAGGTCCCACGCACAGCAGGTGAGTGTGCTTCACACCCAAGTCCTGATGAAGTGCTGTCCAGACACAAGGTCACAATCGGCAAATCATGCCATGGACAAGCTGAAGGACATGTACTGCAGTCACGTGTGAGTACGCGCATGCGTACACGCGCGCGCGCACACACACACACACACACATCTGGTAGACAGACACAGACATAAGTCAGGACAGGTGTTAAGTCACCAGCAGGACCACAGCCAGCAAGTCTCACACATGCAGGGGACAACCACATGCAGTGCACAGTGTGGTTACAAACACACGCACGGGCATGCATGAAGGGTTCTGGTGGTTAAGAGCACACACACCCACACCTACCAAGAGACAAGCACCCATCCCCAGCACTCACAGCACCCACTTGGCCAGCCTCACACACTCACACCCCACCCCCTGCACGAACACGGACTATGGCCACATCCTTGTGGTGCTGCCACTGTCAGATGACAGCTGTGAAGGGGACAGCTGATGGTCAGATAGCAGGCGATGTCCAAGCCTCCCCGCACCCCGGCCTACCAGCCACATCCCCAGCCCCAGCACCTCCAGGCAGCTTCTCCTTCTCGCCAGTGGACAGGCCCAGCTGCTCAGCCAGTTCCTTCTGCATGGGCCCCAGCGTGTCCTTGTAGGGGCAGCGGGTGGTCCAGTGGTCGCCCTTGCAGATGCGGCAGGACACGATCTTCTGGCCCTTGAGCTTGTTCATTGGGTCCTCCTCCTCCTGGCAGTTCAGGTCCTGGCAGGGGCAGGTAGGAGCAGCTCAGAGGGGGGCTGTCGCACCCCTACCACTGCCACTCTGGGCACCAGCCCCATTCTGTTGCCCGCTTACTTCTTTGCTGGTGATGAACGTCATGGAGACATCGTCACTGACTGTGGTGGTGGCCACATTGGGCCCTGGTGGGTCAAACTCTGAGTTCCCAAACTTCTTCCAGTTCTGGGCTCAAGGCAGGATGGCACGCAGCTCAGGGGTTCTATATTGGCAGCCAACCCTAGAACACCTACCCCCAGGGAATCTGGGCCTTGAACCCCCCCATTCTCCATTCCCCCAAGTGCCCCCCCGACCCATGGCAATAACAACAGTTCCTGTTCCCTGAGTGCATGCCAGGCCCTGGATTCACACTAGCTCCAGGAGGCAGGCGCAGCTCTCAGCCCCATGTTCCAGATGAGAAAACAGGGGCTCCAAGGGGGAAACAGGTGCACAGCTGACAAGTCCTGCTGGGGCCTGTGTGGGCTGGTGGACTTCAAAGTGACTCACACTGGGGGTGGAGGGGGTGGGTACCACTCAAGAATGGTTCAGAGCAAGGGTGCAGGGGTCAGGGGTTACCCAGGCCACAAGGGGCCTTGAGCTAAACAACCTGAGCCTCAGCTTCCTCCCCTATAAAATGGGGACCACAACTGGTTGCTATGACCAAATAAGAAAATACTCCCTATAAAACATTTGGCATAGAATCTGACAGAGAAAGAATTCAGAAAATTGTGCCAAGCGTATTTATTGTTATCACTTCTTTCAGGAGTGTTTAGCCCAGCTAAACGGGAGGTGCTTTGACCACCTCAGGGGAGGCCTTGGCTCTCTTCCTCCAGGTAGACAAGCTAAAAGAAATAAAAATCTAACCATATCCCCTCCTGCTCCCTGGACTCTTCAGGGCCTCAAGAGAGTGAAAACACTCCTACATCTCAGTTCTGCTTCAGTAAAATAGGTTAAAAAACAAACAAACAAAAAAAAAAACACTTAAACCCCACCTCAGGAAACAAAGGCACTGGGAAAAAGAACTCCCAATCCCGCTGGGTCAGCCCTGAGGTAGTTCCAAAAACGGGGAGGAGGGTCTCACCTTCCTCCTTGCGACAGCCTTTGAGGCCTTCCGGGTCTCAATACGGAAGGTGCGGACAATCTGTGGACAAGGTAGAGGGTTGGGCTTTCTGTGTCCCAAGGCTCCTGGGGCCAAAGGATCTTCTTAACCGACCCTGTCCCCACACACCACCTCATCCCAGTCCAAGTGCACCCAACCATTACGGCACCCACCCTCTCCCCCAGCCTCACCTTCAACTTCTTGCCATCCTCGTCTATCTTGTACTCAGTCACTGTCTTGATGTTTCCGTTGATGACCTCCTTAGGAGGTGGCAGTGGAGCTGCGAGAGAGGAGGAGTGGTGAGCAGAGCCAAGCCCTGGGTACTGGGGACCTGAATGGGCAGGGAGTCGTGGGAGGGCCCAGTGCAGGAACAGTAAAGGTCGTCACTCACCTCCCGGCAGTAGCTCAGGCTCTGGGCTGGTGTCGCCAGCGGCCAGAGGGATCCCCTTGAGGAGCTCGCTGGTGACGCATTTGTCTGTGAGAGAGTGTGGGGAGTAGGGGTCAGTTCAAGGCGCCGAAGCCCAAAGCTGAAATGGAGGGACCTTTGCGATGACACCCACACCAGGAGGTGACGAAGGCAGAGGACTGGGCAAAAAGCATCTTAGGGCAGTCGTGCAGGGGCAGGGGGCTGGTTGTGTTAACCTCGGGCAGTAGCAGGGGGTAAAGGATTCCTGGGCCAGAGGAGAGACCAGCAACTGTGAGCTCCAACGCCCTGGCATGAAGTTGGCAGACAGGCCAGAAAGACCCCCACGAGCTAGTACAAAGGCTCAGGAGACTGGGTGTTACAAACTCCTCCCCGGAGCATGGGAGCAGCTGTGAAGACGCTCGGGTAGCGGCATGGGAGGAAGGCGGACTAGCCACAACGAGCACCAGAAGGTGGCAAGAGACTGGCCTTGATGAGGGCGGCGCAGGAACAGGGGCAGGCCGTGATGGGGAACCTGGGGTCAGACCGCGGTGCCACGGAGAAAAATCGGAGCAGAAGGTAGTGACCGGGTTGGGGGCTGGCTGCGGTAACTTGGGGCGACCCGGGCGTACTCACCGTCCTCTCCCTCCTCTTCCACCTGGTCGGCCCAGCTGGGCTTCGAACTGCGGGGACAAGTTTACGCGGGGAGAGTGCGGTCAGCGATGCCAGGTCCCCGAGGCCTCGGCGCATCCAACCCCCATAAAACTCCCCAGAACCCCCAAAGTATCCCCCTGGGTGCCCCACCGCGACCCCCAGACTCACTCAAAGTCTCCCGTCGGCATTGCAAAATCTTATCCACGCAGTCCGAACCCGGGCCAGAGAGCGGAAGTGGGGGAGAACGAGACTTCCCGTTCCGCCGCCTAGGGCAGCCCGGCCGCTTCTGCCACAGCGCCCCCTGCGGAAGGAGGCAGAGACGCCGACTGCATGAGCCGCAGGACGGTGGTACCCAGTGGGAGCCAGGCTAGGGCAGCGGCTCATCTCTGGACTTATCTCATTTACCTTTTAATAAAATGAAAATTTTAAATAATAACAACAAAAACTAGTTATTGGACATTTACTATGGGCCAGGAACCGTGAGGAGGAAATTATCATTTCCATTCTGTTACTGAAAAAAAAAAAAAAAAGGCTTAGAGAGGTGAGAGGGCCTTCTTCGCCTTGGCTGTTCCTTTGCTTGCGCTGGTCTTCCTTTTCCGGGGAGGGTTTTCCTGACTGGGATGATTAGGTTTCCTCAACCACTATCCCTTATTT